GGCGCCTGTAGTCCCAGCTACTCGGGAGGCTGAGGCAGGAGAATGGCGCGAACCCAGGAGGCGGAGCTTGCAGTGAGCACTCCAGCCTGGGCGACAGAGCAAGACTCCATCTCAAAAAAAAAAAGAAAGAAAAAAATTATGATTAGTCCTGTCTGGGAGCAGTAGAATGTTTAACGGAACGTGGACCTTTAGATATGTTCATGAAATATTGTACCCCAATCCCCCTCCAAGGTCAAGAATTTATGAACTTTGCTTCCAGAAATTTTTTTTTTTTTTTTTTTTTGAGACCGAGTGTCGCTCTTGTTGCCCAGGCTTGAGTGCAATGGTGCAATCTTGGCTCACTGCAACCTCCATCTCCCGGGTTCAAGCGATTCTCCTGCCTCAGCCTCCCAAGTAACTGGGATTACAGGCGCCCGCCACCACCCCTGGTTAATTTTTTGTATTTTTAGTAGAGATGGGGTTTCACCATGTTGGCCAGGCTGGTCTCGAACTTCTGACCTCAGGTGATCCACCCGTCTTGGCCTCCCAAAGTGCTGGGATTACAGGCATGAGTCACCATGCCTGGCCAGAAAATTTTTTGCATACCTTATTTCGCCCCATTTCCTTCTCTCATGAACAAAACTATTTCGTGTTGTGACTCTTATCAACCCTCGCTTATATGTCTAGTAGTTCCTACTGTGCCTGTCTCCCCAGTCTGTGCCCTCAAAGCATCAATGGTGGGCATGGTATGTTCCTGACATGCTCACATGTCAGCTTTAGGTGTTCTAACATCATAGTCAACCAGATGACCATTGAAGCCTGTCTCCCCTTACTGATACTTGCTCACTTTGCCTGGGTGAAGATACATGTTCATATCCTTAAGGAAGCATGAAAATGTTGTCTGACTACCTAGAATATTTCCACTTAAGATAACTCAGATTCTGAGGATAAGGCCAGATAAAAGGCCAAATCAGACAATCTTTGAAAGCATAGTGTTTCCTTTGGTTGGGGCACCAGCTGGTAATCCCTCACCTCCTCATGGACCTGGCAGTAGATCCGTGAATCATGCTCCATCATTTGCAGGAGGACTTCAGCTTTCCCTACTAACAGCCTAAAGCCAGAGAATCCAGACAGCCCCTTGGATCATGAGAACAGTCAGATGAGTAGCTCCTGAGATAAAAATAAAATCTTAAAAGAAGAAAATAGCTTTACCATTGGGAAGCAAGAGAAGTTTCACTGGAGCTTCTGGGGTGGGCTTCAGGATGGTGAGAGCTGCCCTCATTTTGGCAGCTTCAGAATTATACCTTGCCCTAGTCAATAGAAGTTCATGTCTCAAACACAAAATATAATGTCTTTGTTGCCCACTGAGTGCAGTTAGTTAGTTGAATTGTAGCTTTTGGGCAATCCCCTTCCTCTGAGTAGGTTAAGGGTAAGGCATATTTCAGGACTTGGCTCAGAAATAAGTCCTGACTTTTTTCCAGTGAAAATGCAACTGAAAGTCTCTTTATATCCTCTTAGTTTGAAATCTGCACCTTGAACTTCCCAGCATGTAAGAAACTTATCCCACCTTTCACCCTACCCCCCACACACAGCAGTATCCACAAAGGAATTATTTTTTTCCCCAACTGGCCACCTCTCTCTGTCTCTACACACACACACACACACACACACACACACACACACACCCACCCAAAGAAAAAGAAAGATAGGTATTTCTAGCCTCATTTTACTCTGTAGGAACAAATAAGAATGTGGGACCCTGTGAGTGTGGACAATACCACAGGCAGAGGGACTCCCTTTCTTTATTAGTCTGTTGACTCTGCTGAAGAAAGCTTTGAATTCCAGGCTTTGATTTGCTTCCTCTTCTTAAAAGAGTTATGAACTCTGTTCTGGAAACAGAGAGATAGGTTCAAAGTTTATCAGACAAAAGCATCTAAGAAAGGGTAGTGCTGATATGAATGCTGATATGAATGACCTGGTCCAGCTGGGGATAGGATCCACATTGTAGGCTCTGATGCAATACATATGCTGGGGTAGTCCTCGAGCTAAGAGGCCGTTTCTACTTTAAAGAGACTTAATGACCATCTAGTTTGGGGTTTTCCTCAGGTCCGTTATCTCTGAAAAGAGACATAGGAGGAAGAGGATTATTTATCCTCCCATTCATAAGCCTGTGTTTCCTGTTCAAAGATTTAGGTCACCAAGACGCAGACCCAAAAACCATTCATTTAATAACCCAAGAAAGAAGGCAAGCAGGGTGGCCCAAATCTTCCAACTGGGGCAAGATTTAATAAAGTGTTCCAGTAGAAAGAACCCTCTAATGGTAACTTGGGCTCTACATGTCCTACTTCTGTTGTTAACCAGATGGGTGACTCTGGGCTTAGTTTCTTCTGTTAAAAACCAGGAAATTGTAGGTCATCTCTCAAATCCATTTCAGCTCCAGGATTCCTCAGGTCCTGGAGTACCCCTGCCCTAGACCCTCCACATGAAGAAGAGAGGCTTACCAAATTGGATTGTCAGAGCAAAACTATTAGCAGTGGAGCCTGAAAACATCTTTCTGGCCCAGACAACAGTGAGCTTTTTTGATCAGCATGTATTAGGGACTTTTGGCTACAATTGCAATCAAAGGCAATTGTTCCTGTCTCTTCTACATTTTTTTGCTACTGTACCCTAGTCAGAATAGTTCATTGAGACTTCCCTGTAATTTCAAACTTCACTTGAGAGCACTAACCCTGTTTTGGGCATCTTTGGCTTTAAAACTGATTATTATAAGACTCAAATTGAATTTCCCTGCTCTACTTTCTCCACCCCTGCCCAAACATACCACTGAACAGCAGTGACTTTGTGAGGACTTTCTATTAACAGAGAGCTATACTTCGGGGTATACCCAAAAACCCCAAAAAGTATCATCTCCTGTGTATCATATCTAGTGATTTAAAGTGTTTAGTTTGGCCCTTTTCCTTCGTTCCTTATGTCCTGAAATGAGACATGGGAGGGATAGGATTGTTTCTTCTCCCACTCATAAACTTTAGCCTTCTCTCTCTTCTGCAGTCTACATGGGGAGGACAGAGAAGCGCAAAGAACAAGAGAAAAGATGCATCCATCTGAGATCTAAAAGGAGACAATGAGGTGATATTTTCCCCCTGCCCAGGTGTTGTGTTTTCAGCTCTTACCCCTTTTTATTTTAGAGACTGGCCATTCCTAGGATGACCTGGGAATTCATCCCCTCTGCACTGCTCCCTAAGCACTTGGATAATGAAGCTGAGCTGTCTTCAACTGTATTATATGTAGACAGAAGGTCACCATCTACAGCCTGGTGAAAAATGAGTCAGATCTTTCCACTGTAAAGACAAACACATGAGCTGAGCTAAGATTGGTGGGTTTCCTTCAGAGAGCACTAGGTTGACCCTAAAGATTATTTCAGAGCTGCAAATTGCTTGATGTCTAGATCTTTTTCCTGGAAAGGGGCTTGCAGACATTGGCTAATTCCATACCTTTCCCTGGCCCCTTTGCCTCTTCTTCCTCCTCAATTATGCAAAGCTTTTGATAGAGAGCAGAGCCAGCTATGTGATTCCAACATGTTTTTGCTCAGATTTCATTCAGTTCAGGAAGGCACAGATAGTAGAGGATGATGCTGTGGGTTTGCTCTACTTGTAGCACCTGAATGGCTCACACCCAAGGCACATGGGAAGTTCTGTCTTTTTAATAACCACTGGTCTCCACCTGAGAACCCAGGTACTAAGGGAAAATGGAGAAAAATTTTCCACTTCTGCCTGTTATAGTTTGGGAATAATAACACAAACATGGTATGGATCCTTGCCATTCTCTCTACCTTCACCCTCTTTCCCAACAATATTCTGCTCATGACCTTTTACCCCCTAGGCCACAATAAGCATGTGTTAAATGACTTTTTTTTTTTTTTTTTGAGATGGAGTTTCGCTCTTGTTGCCCAGTCTGGAGTGCAATGGCCTGATCTCGGCT